GTTTTGGGAATTGCCCTGAGGCAAAGGGCGTGGTCTCACGGTCACTTCATAGTTGACCGAAAGGATCTCTTCATTATAAATAGGGATCTGACCTATAGGACCGGGCTTGGTTTTATTCTCTACAAAAAGCTTGTCGATTTCCGTTCTGATTAATGACATTAGGCTGAATACATATACCAATTTGTTTTTCCTAATTTTATTTCAGTGAGTAGAGATAGGAGGAACCCTTTTTATTGATTTTCTGAGTTTGTTATCTCCAAATGTAATAACTGATATTTGTCTTTACTTCTCATTGTGCATAAAGGTAATGTCTACTGTCTCTGAAATTCTATTCTTAATGTCTAGGCTATTTATCCGTGGATAAAATAAAAACTTGTCTTTAATGTGTGCAAATTATAAAGGCCTAAATGAAATCCAAGTGAGTGCATTTACTGAAATATGTAGCCAAAATCAATGTGATTAAATTTTAAGGAATATATATATAATTGAAATTCATCGCAGCTCAATGCTGCCAAGAATATCCGTACTGAGTAACACATAGTGCGTTATTCTTTTTCTCGGAGAAAGTGTGCTTATACTGAGGTTCGTTCCACCTGACTGACAACTGAACATTGGATTGTTACGATTTGATATCTCTTTAGTGTTTCTTATATCAAGAATGGGCATGCATATAAGGGATATATAATTGAAGGAAAAATACACGTCTATAAAAAAAAATTAAAATAGTCTTTGAAAAGGCGAAATTTAAAACTGTATAAGTGTTGTACCAGGTGGATTCGAACCCCCGACTTTAAAAAGAGAGTATCCAAGGTGTAAAAGTCAGCGTATATATCAACTGAGCTAGTCTGACCATAAGAATTAATGGCATAAATTTAGAGAAGATTTTGAAAATCTGGTTTCCTTATTTTTTGTAGGTTTTTTGTGAATTTCGACCCCAGGGCAGGGGTGCCCCTAAAAAAAATCTTATCTTAAATTACTCCTTTCATCCTAACCTAACAAAATATCACAATTTTATTTAGGGGCAGGCCTGCCCTGATGGACTTCAAGGCCAAAATTCATGCAAAAATCAACGCTTTAAAGGACAAAATGGTGTTTCAATCAACTTTGGAGGTTTATTGTAAAGTTGTAAATAATAAATTTTAGGTATCAAATACAAATTTTAAAAAATTAGACATATATACGGTAGAAAACAACAAATAAAGATTGATTTTTAAATGTCACTTTTTCCGGGAAATTGTTCTCTCCTATAGGTCAATTCTTTTGTTAAACCGAATACACATGTACATCCTTTTTATAAAAAATTGATATTTTGCCCACTATAAGCCTAAAGGGCTAGGATCATCAAATCTTGTCAGCAGATGCATTTTAGGACTTAGTGTTGACTCAAAAGTAGGTCATGGTGATGCTTTTAGTTTTGCAGGTGAATTCATCTTTACCAGGGTAATTTAATTTTGGTGCATAAAGTGGACACTTTTTAAAAAGCCTGTGAATCAGTAAATGCATCATGAAACCTAATTAAATTTAGATGTTAGATCCTCCTACATACTCGCTTCTGTAACTTCTTACATCATTCCATAGAGGGACATGTCAGAGGTCAACTTGGAACAACTCTTAAGACTTTTTCACTTCAACAAATATAGATGATTTTGCAAGCGACAATTTGATTGGTTGATAGAATTTGACCTGTGACGTGATTCTCTATGGGATGTCATTTGATGTTAGTGTTGCAAGTATGCGAATGGATCAAACATCTAATTTTAGTTAGATTGTACATCATGGGGCCTGAAAGTGTGTAGACCTAAAATAGGTCATAGTGACCTTTCTGAATTCTATTGCTAATTTTTCTAAACATTTTTGTCAAACCTTGCTTTGGAGCCTTATTTATTATCATGAACTAAGTCATTAAAAAAAGGTAGCTAGTGTTCCTTCCTCAAGCTCTCAGCACTTTGAAGTGAAGTTGCTGGTCCTTTGGATGAGACCTAAGAACAAGGCCCCCTTGTCCCAGTACATGTAGGTATTGGCACGATAAAGAACCCTCACTACTCCATGACCCTGGAAGTCAAGTAAATGTCTTTTGAGACCTGTATATTGTGATGCTTCTTTATGAGTGAAAAATTTTTTGAATGGGATTTTAAACAACATTATAAATCAATTAAAATGGATGTCACAGTTAGAGTTTTGCAGGGATTAATTTTCAAACTTTTAGAGGATATTTTGAACACTTTGAAGCATGAGATCATCTAGCTGTTAGTAAATGCATCTTGGGTCCTCACAGTGCCTTCAGCTCAGGTGAGCTAAAAAGTAGGTCATCTTTACCGAACAGTTAACAGTATTTTTTTTTGTTAAATCAAGAAAAGCCTGGGCCAACAAAATAAGTAATTTTACAGTATAACACTATATAGTGAAGAAAAATCCAAGAATCAGTCTTTGAACATTTTTAGCTCTATTGGTCAGAGACCAGAAGAGCTTATGCAATAGTAATGTGATCCGGCGTCCGACTGTCTGTCTGTCCATCTGTAAACAATTTTTCAAAATGCTACTCCTCATACAGTTTTGGTTTGATTTCAATATAACTTGGCACACAAGTAGACTACACGAAGATACATAATTCTATGTATCAGTTTTTGATTTCGATGAACAGTGTTGCCGTGGTTACTAAAAATAGAAATTTCTGTGAAATTCTTCAAAATACTATTCATCCTACAGTTTTGGTCTGATTTTATTATAATTTGGCATACAAAGTAGACTACACTAAGATACACAGTTCTATATATTGGTTTTTGATTTCAATGAAGGGTGTTGCCATGGTTACCAAAAATTTCTGTGAAATTCCTCAAAATGCTACTCCTCCTACAGTTTCGGTCTGATTTCAATATAACTTGGCAGTTGGCACACAAGTAGACTACACTAAGATACACAATTCTGTATATTGGTTTTTGACTTCGATGAACATTATTGCCTTGGTTAATAAAAATAGTAATTTCTTTTAAATACTCTTAAAATGCTACTCCAAATACAGTTTTTGTCTGATTATAATAGAATGTATGTGGCATGCAAGTAGACTACACTAAGAACATAAAGAGACTAAATAATCAAGGATCATTACATATGTATTCTATTCATTGCTTTTGTAAAGTTTCAATTCCCAACTGCTTAAGTACTGTAGATTCCTAAATATATGCGTGGAATTAATTATCGGGATTTCGCGAGAAGCACCACACGCGAAATAAAATTACTCACCTTTATTTTTATGGTGCTGAAATCTAAGTAAAATCTCTTAATCAAATGTCCATCCGCGAACTATTATTCTCGCGATTTGACGTTGAAGAGCCCATTCGCGATAATAACTACTCGCGAAAAATAAGGAATCTACAGTACTTTTCCTTTGCTATAAGTATATTACAAACCAGTAGAGCTTCAGTCTCAACAGAGACTTCTGGTTAATGATTCTCAATCAGTGAAGGGCAAAATAATAGTTGACATGAAAAGTTAAATCAATTTACAAATTTTTGACCGACAACTGTACACCAAGTCCTGATCTCTATCACTTTTTTGTTGAATATAATATTAAAGTGTCATTTTCATTGATTTCTTATTAGTCAAGTTTCATGACTGACAAAAGATTAAAATCCAATGTGGCCTTAACTTGGTCTGCCAAGGCATGTATATTCCGCAAACATTCCACACCCATATGTCGCTTAACCATGCACTTTATAATGATTCTGCAAGTCAATAACAATTCTTATTACACTTGAAGTCTATTATTTTTATTGTGTATTGAATTTCACTTTATAAGACAATAAACAGTATTTTATCATTAAACATAAAGGCTTTACTTTCAAGGACAAAGAGTATCATTTCATAGACTAGATGCAATTGTTCAAGGATTTAAATGAATATTACATGTACAGAAATGCTAAACAATACTAAATAAATTTTGGAGAAAAAAAATTGCATGTAACCTGCAGGGTCATTAAGTAAAGATGGTCCATGGTGTAATATTGATAGTCAACATTTTTAACTAATTTTTGAATTGCGAAAGAAAATAACATCTTGATCATAATGAAATGCATAAATATACCAAAATCTGCATTTTAAAGGAAAACAAAAACATCATTAGAGCTAGGGTACAAAATTCCTCATACTTTTTAAAGAGCTTTAAACTATTTTTAATGAAATATAACAGGAAAAAAATGTACCCGGTATTATAACAATTAAATACACAAGTAAATTTTAAAAAAAAGAAACATTCATCATTGGAATTTAAGGTATATTTCAATAGAAGTCTGTGAAATGTTCAAAATCTTAAAACTCAAAAATTGGATGGATCAGACAGAATTCAATTAAAATCATCTTGACTTGACACCGAAAAAGTAAAGAGCACTCATATTTAGTATATGACAAAATTAGTCATGGACTCATGGTTGTCTCTGGTTCTTGAAGATTTTTTTAAAGATTTTACAAAAGGATGCATTAATTTGGTCCCCATCTCATCATAAGCAACTGAACAAGGAAACTTTTAAATCAGTTTAATTAATTAGGAACAAGAGCTTTGTTCTCCTTGAGAGATTTTACACAATATTGTACCATTTTCTTGGAAAAGTTATTGGATCTCGCAAAGGTCCTGAAAATCCAAACATGAGGAAACATCTCCTAATGATCAATAACATAGATATAGAAGATATAACTTCCTATTAGAAGTATCAATAAATAATATAGGGACATTATTCTCAGCAGGAAAGAGGATCTTACAATCAATTAAACTACTTCATACTTATGAAATATCCTGCGTGACAAAAGGAAGCGACCATTGAATTCCTCAATATAGATTTTGTTTCCTACTGAGATATATAGTGATGTATATTAAATTGGGTTGAAAGTGCCCAGTGGGATAAATTGGAATTTTTTTTCCTTATTATTTTTCCACTCTACAACCAAATTTGGTTTAATATTAAAGTGTTTGTGAAAATCTTCTTCCAAAAAGAGAGCTAGAAGAAATAAATTGTGAGATGTTTATATCAGACACTCAAACATGTAACATATGGCATTATATAAAGATACATAGATGATTTAAGAAAAGCTTTTTGGCTCAGGTGAGCTAAAATCACCAATCAAAAACAGGAAATTTGTAAATAGATAAACTAACCTTTCAATAATTTCAATAAATAACATGATACAATCATCAATTACTAACAATATTGAATGGAGATGAGTGAAAAAAAATAAACACAATGACATGCGCAGGAAGCTTGTAAGTTAAATAATTTTCTGGTATGTACAAAAATTACTGGGGAACCTGATCAGAGAATTTGTTAAGGTGACCTATATACAGGAGTAAGCATATTCTGTGTGTAAAATAAAATATATTTAAAAAGAAAATATCCAAAGATTTACTGTTAGAAAAAAGCCAAAATAAATTTTATTTTGGATATGCTTGAAAAATTTAATAATTTAAAGAAATTCTGGATTTAAACTTCGTGTATAATAATTTGAGATTCATTTCATTTTTAAAATAACTTTCTTGAACATTACTGGAAGACACTGGAATAGTTTAGGTTGCATAAATTACATGACAATATCAACAGATGCACATTAAATACTTTTACAAAGATCTCTACAAAAAATACAGATGACCATTAAAACTGCATAAAATAAATGCAGTTTGCTCTTTATAGCTCTTAAAACACATGTATGCACTGTATACAAAAAAATTTTTCCTTGAAATACAAATCCAGCATGAGAAATAACCAAGATGTGACTACGAATAATAAATTACCAATAAACCTTTCTTGTAAGAATTTTTCATGCATAATTAGTGAAAAAAATATACCTAATATAAAATTTAAACTTCCATGTAACAGTACTAACATGAAAAGAGGAATGCTGCACACCAACATACAAAAAAGAATGCCTCTGTATTACAAAGAGTACCCATAGCACTGGCTGCACAACGTGCTGGGAGTTTTAGGAATCAACCTAAGTTTTCACCATTATGATAAGACTGTATCAAAGTATGAAGTCTCTCTAATCGGAGTCCTCGTCATCCCCGTAATCATTAGTATAGCTATTCCTGGGAGCAGCTGGAAATAGCAACAATGTAAATGTTGAGATCTATTTTTTGGGTTAAAAAAACATATATGTAAAACAAGAAAGAGAATATCACTACATGTATTCAATTAACCATTAATTAAAAGTCATCCTTGTTTATTTTTTTTTTATTCATTATAATAAAAGCTCTATTAAAATTGTTCAAGCATATATTATTGACACATCTACATTTAAGATATATGTTTTTGAGGTACGGTAATAAACAAATTGTTTCAGAAAATTAAGGTTAACAATTTTAAAATCCTCAGTGCTTTACCTGCTTGTTTAATTAAAGCTGCACATTCAGGATCTTTGGTGAGATCCAGAGGTAGTCTGTTCTCATTGTTCTTAATATCCACTCTGGCACCTTAACATAAAGAATTTCCAATAAACACGTAAGTGACATATAAAATTCATGTTCATCTTGTCATGGACTAACACTGAGAAATCATCAATTTTTAGGGGGAGGGGATGTAAGTGTTCAATTTTTTTTTTAATGACATGAAGTTCTTAGTAAAATACGTGAAATACATGTACAAATGTATGTACAAATTATCAAACTTCAGTACATGTATTACTGGGTCATATGTTAACTTCACAAAAGCAAATCCCATTAAAGCAATATTTTTCCCATTCAAACCATAAAAATCTGACCACATTAAAGTGAATGATTTGACAGACACTCACCTTTCTCAATTAACAGCTTGACAGCCTCTGCATGATTCTTCCAGGCCGCAGAGTGCAATGGGGTATCTCCTAACTTATTCTGTGAAAATTAAAAAAATAACAAAATATTATTATTAACTGGGAAGTATCCATCTTTAAAATCTTGATTGTTATATGCAATTGCAAAAAATTATTCCAAATATCCTCTGTAAAATGACCTGTTGATATACATGTATAAGAATTATTCCAATCAAACTGGAAACAACACAACTGCTAGCTGGTGTACATGTGAACTTTTACATGTGAAGGTATACTGTATCTGTACATATTTTGTACTGTATTAAAAGTTGACCGCAATCATTGAGTATAGCATTGTTGGCATAACCATGAATAAGCGCTACATATGTCTGAGCTGTGTATTTAAGAAATAAAGTCCGCATTTTCGTGAATGTTACAGGATAACCTCCGAGGTCGAGAAATGTTGTTTGAAAGATAAAAGCTGAGGCGTTAGCGGAGACTTTTATATTTCAAACATTTCGAGACCAAGGAGGTTATCCTGCAACATTCACGACAACAAGGACTTAACTTCTATTCTACAAAGATCATGAAGATCGCTAAAATATGCCTGATCGTTTCCTCTATAGAGAAACGAAATAGGTCACCATGTCTCAATTACGCTGTTCCATTTAACACCAGAGAGAAAATTTGTTTGCTTACATGTGTATGGAATGCAGACAATTTGAGCTTTCGTGGCATTAAAAATTATAAGCCTTTTTAAATTTCAAATTTGTTCGTTATATGTATTGATTAATTTTAATGAATATACAATAACAAAATCATGTTCCTGTTTAACTGCTTTATTGGTGTTTAAATGTGTAGGGTGGTCCGTGGAATAGTCCCGCTTGGGCTATAAAAACCTACATTCATCAATGACTTCATGCAATTTACAGTGTTCAGACTGCAAAAGACGACACATCAATGTGGTCTGAACAAGTATTTCATTTTAGAGTCAAATATTTATTTCAACAGTACAGGTTTGATACGTGTTTCTTTAACCTTTGCCTCTTACTATCTAACAAGAAAACAACAGACTATGAAATATAAATATTTAAACCCTGTCCATCTGTAATTAGAAATCACTTAACTGATATTAATGATCAATTTGAATTAATTTAGGAAATACTCCAGGAAATTAAAAGCCTCAATGGTTTACCTGAACGTTGACCTGACACTTAGAGTTAAGCAACATCTGCATGCAATCAATGTGTCCTCCATGTGCTGCCCAGTGTAGAGGGGTGGATCCAGCTTTATCTAGGGCATTTACAGAAACCTAGGAAAATTCCGAAAAAATATGCTGAATGTTGGAATCAGTCCTTACCAAATGGTTTACATTAAATTGAAGAAAAAACCCATTAAACTGTAGGAAAGCTATGAAATTATCCTCCATATAATGCGCATGTGTACATTTCCAAATTAAACTAGAGGTACTGTGAGCATTGAGCTCACTAAATGATACCCCCCGCCTCCCATATGGTTATAACTGATGACAAAGTCCATGTTTTGCCATGGCCGGGAAACCCAAAATATGTGTCAGATCAAAAAGTAAAATAGGAGGTGCACAATGGCAACATGTAATAAAGATTTTGTGAAAGTTTCATTAAATTTCACTCAGTGGTATAAGAGGAGTTGTGGATAAGAGATGGGTACCCTAAAGCGTAACAGACGGACGGACGGACGGCTAGACGGACGGACGGACGGACGGACGGACGGAATTACCGATTACTATATACCCTCCCGCTTTTCAAGCGGGGGGTATAAAAAAACAACAAGTTCAACCAGTTGAAAGTTCATTTTCTAACCTCAAAAAATATGAAGTAATAATAGATTAAACTGGTTCTTTATGACACTTGAAGCTTTAAATTGAGGTGCTAAGATGTAAAGAACATTTTAAAAGTGCTTTCTCTATTAAATCTACTTACATTATTTGATATGCATTCCCTCATAAAAGTAATATTTCCACGCTTGGCCGCTTCGTGTAAAGGGTAGTCAATAACTTCTGTATTCTTATCCACTGAAACAAAGAGAATAATGGTAATAAAATGTGATACAAAATAATAAAGATTTATTGGTTAATGCTCAAATATAATATTGGTGTATAACTTTAATTAATATTTTTTTCTAGCTCGATATATTTAGTTAATGAATTATCCTTTCAAAACTTAAGTGGAATGATGATAAGGCATTATCAATAACACTTGAATGTTGACTTCTAGCAAAATATAAACTTTAGTGTGCAAAGTGTGAGTATAATATACTACAGGCACATCAATAAATTATAGTCATACATTTATACTGTAGTTCCAAAAAATTCTGACATGACCTATTTTTGGGCTTCTATGAGTACTTCATTTTAAGTGAACCAAATTCTTTTTTTCCTCTCAAAGTTAAAATAGTTATTTTAAAATAAGGCCACTTGAATGCCATAGGTACATTATAAAAAGGAAATATGCAATATAAATGTCAATATGTATTTCTAAATAAAATATTATACATAAGGAGATAGAATAAATTTCTTGATATTTAAGCTGGAAGTAAAACATAAGACCAACAAAAATACAAACTACAAATATGTCCATAGGACATGAATGCCCAGCCGAGGGTATATTAGTAATGCAACATGAAAATTTGTATGAAATTTGATCTGAATATCTTGAAAAATGATGCAGTTGAATTGCATACATCAGTATATGTATCGCCATATGAAGATTGATACTAATTTAGGAAAAGTGAGGTCAAGGTCAAAGGAAAGGCCAAGGTCAATGAATGTTGATATAGTTGCAAAGCTCTCATCAGTATGTATAAGCATATACAGTTGAAAAAAATTATGAATGGTTTCTTTAAAACTGACATACACATAATTTGATAAAAGTGAGGTCAAAGATCAAATGAAAGGTCAAAAATGTTGATGTAGTTGAATTGCTTACATCAGTATGTATCAGCATAATAATTGATTCTAATATACGAAAAGTGAGGTCAAGTTAAAGGAATTAGGGCCAAAGTCAAAAATGTTGAATAGCTCTCATCAGTATATGAATTAAGTTTGATAAAATATCTTTGATGGTTTCTTTTAAACTGAGCTAAACACTAATGTAAGAAAAGTATGGTCAAGGTCAAAAGGAAAGTCAAGGTGAAAATGTTGATGCAGTTGAATAGCTCTCATCAGTATGTATCAGTATATGAAGTTTGACAAAAAATTCTTAGATGGTTTCTTTAAAACTGAGCTAAACACTAATATGAGAAAAGTGTGGTCAAGGTAAAAAAAGTTGATCAGTTGTATAGCTCTCATCAGTATGTATCAACATGTGAAGTTTGATAACACCATCTTGAATGGGTTCTTTAAAACTGAGATAAACACTAATTTAAGACAAGAGGCCCATGGGCCTTATAGGTCACCTGAGCTTCATGCAACAACTTTCCAGTGATTGAATTTGGTTCATGTTTTAAACCAGATGCTATAGCATTCACAATTTTGAAAGAGGCACCATTGATCATAACTATACACTTAGCAATTGCTTAGTTTGGATACTTAATACCCATAGGCAGGGTAGGGGAACAAAAAATGCAATTCAACTAATCAATAATGTATTCAGCAATTTTTAAATCAGCAGTGCCCCTACCACACATGAACCCCTGACACTAGGTCCACACACTGCACAATTTTTGAAAAGGCACCCCTGCTTTTCAAAAATATTTGATTTATCTATAACAGTGAACAGATTACATAGAATATGAGTCCTTGAGAGTTTAAATATTTTTTTCTTTCTGTTTCATTGAAAAGACAATCTTGAACCTCATTATTATTCCCCGATCACATTTATTTACGTTTTGGAGAAAAATCACCGAACTTAAATGGTTAGTACTGCTGAACGCTGCTTTTATTTCATCGTAAGTGTACTCGGGTTAATCCCTTAGCTATTTCAAATTTAGGCATATCAATAGCCATTAACAGAACCTATTTAATTTCAAAGTTAAGTTTGTTTTTTTTCTAGATCTGCGGGTGTTACTATTATAATATTACATTTAGCTATTTAGCCTCCATATGTCTGTATTATATCCGTGGATGCAAAGAATTTAACAATGAATAATTTTATTTCAGAAGAGCATGCAGTATAAAAACACATAAGGTGAAAACTTAATTATTCACACCTTTGTATATCAACTGGCCAATCGGGCATAATTACTGTCACGACAGCCGCCAGGGAGTACTTCAATATAACCATTACGAAAACAACTCATTATCACCTGTGGGAACCGATCAGTGGCTTCAATATAAGTGAAATTTCAATATATCCGATTTCAATGTAACCGTTATTTTAATGCAAAGAATATGAGAGGCAAAAACTGGGGATTTATTTCTATTTCAAAATAAGCGATTTCAATATAAGTGGATTAAGCTGTAGGTAGTTCATCTGCGTAATACCCAGGAGCAGAGAAGAAAATTTTCAAAGATTTAATGTATTTTCACTATATAATCAATAGAGCCCCACCCTAACACCAGAACCCCTGGTCCTGAGGCCATAAAATTCACAATTTTGGTAGAGGCACTCTTGCTCATCATTACTATGCAATTAGTTTATTTAATACCTAGGAGCAGAGAAGAAGACTTTCAAAGAATTAATGTATTTTCACTATATAATCAATAGAGCCCCAGCCTAACACTAGAACCCCTGACCCTGGGGCCATAAAATTCACAATTTTATAAGAGATATTCTTGCTCATCATAACTATGTACTAAGTTAGTTTATTTGATACCCAGGAGCAGAGAAGAAGATTTTCAAAGAACTAACGCATTTTCACTATATAATCTATAGAGCCCCACCCTAACACTAGAACCCCTAAACCTGGGGCCATGCAATTCACAATTCTGTTAAGAGGCACTCTTGCTCATCATAACTATGTACTTAGTTAGTTTATTTAATACCCAAGAGCAGAGAAGAAGATTTTCAAAGAATTCATGTATTTTCACTATATAATCAATAGATCCCCACCCTAACACCAGAACCCCTGACCCTGGGGCCTTAAAATTCATAATTTTGGTAGAGGCACTCTTGCTCATCATAACTATATATTTATTTAATACCCAGGAGAAGAGAAGAAGATTTTCAAAGAAATAATGCATTTTCACTATATAATCATTTTAGCCTCGCCCTAGCACTAGAACCCCCGACCCCAGGGCCATAAATTTCAAAAATTTAGTAGAGGACTCAATGCTAATTACAATCATGCAAACAGTTTGATTGCTTGATGTACAAGAGTAAAGAAGAAGATTTTTAAAGATTGCATTAAACTTAGTGGTTTTGGCCTCACCCCTCAGGCCCCGGAACAATATTTGTTCCCCTTCAACCATAGATGCTTTATGCAAAATTTAGTTGAAATTGGTTGAGTGGTTGCAGAGAAGAAGCTGAAAATGTTCAATTGTTAACTCAGAGTTTACTCAGGTGACCTAATAAGTGAGGTCAAGGTCAAAGGAAAGGTCAAGGTCAAAAAAATGTTGATGCAGTTGCATAGCTCTCATCAATATCTATCAGCATATGAAGTTTGATGAAATTATCTTGGATAGCTTCTTTGAAACTGAGCTTTGGACTGAGCTAAACACAAGTGTGACCGAAGGACAGACAGAAGGACGGAAGATGGACAAGACAAACACTATACGCCCCGGCCATTTTCATGGCCGAGCATTAAAAAATCTGACTAGAACTTTCAAATTATGATTATTGCCAATAGTTACTACCAGATGTATTTTTTACATTAAAACCTATTTTGAACATGTTCAACATGAACTTCCTACTCTCTGCAAGATTATAACCACAACAGACTACTAATAAATAAGTTACTGTTACAGGGATTTCAATGACCTCCCTCATTTAAACTCATTTTGTAAACTTTATTGATGCTTTAGTAATCTTCTTCCTGAATAAAGTATTATAATTGTACTTATCATAATTATATGGTCATAATTTGATAGACATATGTACTTTGTAGCCTTCTTTTCACACTAAATTTGACTGTGTATTGCATGATAATCAAGTCTATTTCATCAATGCATAGGGCTCTTGTTGTTTGTACCTACATACTGTACCGTAATCAATAATTTTCATATGCGATTTAATTTTTGCTGTTTTAGAGGTATGGAGAGACCTACAAATTAATGACCACTACAAAATGTTAAATTTTACATGCATTACCACTTGAAGATTTTCTGATCATCAAATCTCACCAAACCAATATTTTTTCCTCAAACCTCAAAAATTTGACTCCAAGTATATATGTGATTTTACAGTATCCAAGCCACCAGATCACTCCTCTCTCAGAATTTCAAGGAGCTTATTTTATATGACCTGTTTATAGATTTGTTTTATAAGCTGTTTTTTTAGACCTATAACAGTACTGTATGTTATATTCACTTATTTTATCTTTATAATTGCAAGTATCACCAAAATATTAAATGTATTTTATCATAAATTTTCCAAGAAAAGAGACAAATTGCCCCTAGTTCCTTGTTTTTATTTAACATTGAAACTCCTAGAAAGAAGTGTAAAATCTAAAACAAGGACTCACATTTAAGTATTTATTTCCAAGTTTCTTTTCTCGAGACTCACCGTAATTACTAGGAATAAGTCCCGTTTTGTCTCCACACTTGGCTTTCCACCAGTCAGAGTTGCTCATATCAAGAATATACAATGTATCACCTTCCTCAAAAGACAATTCATCACTCTAAAAAATACATGGTAGTATTTTGAATATTAGACCTGATAATATTAAACATCATAAGGCTTCTTGTCTCCCTTAGGGAGAATAAATAATTATACAGAATTGTTTTTTTAGCTTTATTTTTTTTGTTTGGTATAATCAAGTCATTAATCCAAGAAATGGTACACAAATTTGTAAACAAGTTGCTGTCCTTAAAAAAAATATGTGGACCATATGCATGTTTTTTCTAACTGAAATTCAATAAAGAAAATTTTACTGTAGGGAATATTCATGTAGGTTTGTTCACATATTCTACAATGATCTGCCTACTTTTGACTGATTGTAGTCTCAAAGCAAAATTGTTAAATTTTATCTCTGATTAGCGGCCTTTAGTTTTGTCAGTTTCAAAAATCGGGCTATTTTGATACATGTAACCCGTAATGGCTTGGACTTGACACCTGCTCTGGATTTATACGGAAGAAATCTATCATGGAAAAAATAGAGATCTGATAGTTCAGAAGTAGCACAGCTCTGTAGCACGCAGATTTTTTTTTGTCGGCGCCCCCCCCCCCCCCCCCCACACACACACACATTAAAAGCCGTTGCTACAGACCTTTACCAAACGATATTAAGATTGCTGGAATATTAAATTATTTTGCGAGCCTTGATGCACAAAACTAATGCCGGTGAAAACTTGTTCTATCTTTTAAAAGCTAGAACTAGTCGTTGAGTGACATTTTTCATTCAAGTTGTTATATCTATATACTGTAACTTCTTAAAATGCTTGTACCATAGAATCAATGTTTAGTTTGTATATAAAAGTGTATTTAAAAGAGATAAAATCGGATCTGCCAATGAAAATACAGGTGACTCTCGATCTCTCGAAGTTCAAGGGACCGCAAGAAAAGTTCGAGAGATTGGGTGGTTCGAGAGATAGAAAGTAGATAAAATCCGGAATTTTCAGTTCCGATCATAGATGTTCTACTATTATAAATACCGGAAGTATATGTAAATAAAGTCATTTAATTCACGTTTTTCAATCGTATTTTACAGGTAATTTACTTGATATCAACAGCAATGATCGTATTTCGACTAAATAAAACGAATTCCTAAAGTTTCAATATTTGTTTGTTCTTTTTTCATGACTACATGAAACCCGAATAGCATTGTCGGTTTGGCTATTCCGCGGTGTGATCGGGTCCTTCACCAGTGTTCACCAGATGATTTTAATCGGTATTCCGTCCTTGAGAAAGGAATTTTTGGTGCAATATTTGCAATACTGGGGTTATGTAGACTCCAATAAAAGTTCATATCTTTGGAAACTTAATAAAACAAACGTCTATAAATTATTTTCTTAAAATTGTCGTCTCGGTTTCAAGTCAAAATAAGTTGTGAATTCGTTTATAATTTACCAATATAATAACCAATTAAATATATCAACACGCGGACGACCCACAGGTGTAGTATCATCTATGTAAACACCCAATTAACACCTCCATGCCAGCCCCAAGCGTTCACTGTTTTCCAGGTAAGTCCAGGCTGCATCAATTTTATGCTTGATTGGCGAGTATACGCGCTGCAATCAAAACTTCGAGAGATAGAGAGTAAAATTCAATGAAATATGTGTAATGGGACCCATGTTTTGGTTCGAGAGATAGAGAACTTCGAGAGATAGAAGTTCGAGAGATCAGGAGTAAATTTACTTAGTTATATAGAGGGAATAAACGGGACCGAAGGTTCACTTCGAGAGATCAGAGTTCGAGCCATCGAGAGTCACCTGTGTAAATGCAATATGCAGATTTAGAAGTGCGATTTGCCAATGAATGGCATATTTTAATTCAAATAGGGCAAATTATTCTATGGTCAAGTTACCTAAGGTGCAAATTCTTTAGCATTCTCGCGCATGCGTAGCCTGTCGTTTGCCCATGGCATCCGGTTTAACCTCGCTTATATATTTACTGCGTGGACCTCAGGGTCCACGCAATAAAATGTGTATAAAGTGTACACAAATTGAAGTAAATTTCTTTTGCAAGAATTTCAAAACTCATGATTATAGGCTTCAAAGAAAAATAGGCTAAACTCACAGACACTTGTTTCTGTAATAAAATGTTTTCCCGAGTACAGAACAAATTAAAAAAATAATGAGATTAAAAGTTCAATTGCAGTGTTTAAATCTTGCAGTGAATAAAAAGAACTTGTTTATGTTTAATTTTCTATTTAAAACTTTACAATATTTTTCTGACATTATTTTAGATATTTAGGCAATCGAATCCCAGGAACATAAGATACATTTTTCAGTCAGAGAGCAGAGTTTTGACACTGTTTGCAGACTGAGATAAAATAAAAGACAAGTATGCATATATGGTTGACGTATGGATAAATTATCGTAGAATTGAGACAATGGTAATAAACAGATTGCCAAATTTTTGTTTCATGCTAAGAAAGTTTAAATGTCAGAGTGCAATTCTGGGAAAGGGGGTATGCCAAGTAATTCGGGGTTGGATACCTTGTGTCATTATTACATTGCAGCTCGCAGCAGATTAAAAAATTCTTACAGAAACAAGTGCCTGTGGCTAAACTAGACATTTGTGCATTTCATAAAACATTTTTTATTTTTCGATGCATCATGTCAATCATAATAAGTTACATGGTTAAGGAAAAAATCTTGCATCATGAAACTTGATAAGGAGAACATTTTAAATAAGTTACTTTTATTTTGATTTACTTACCTGTTGAGCATCATAGTGATACAGGGCTCTCACTACCTTAACATGACCTGATGTGAGAAAGAAAAAAACAAGAAATTAATACTAGAGTTGAATACTACATATCACTGTTCACTTGTATCACGACTATGAAGATAACACATTAATAATGCACCGGGACAATACTGCACAATAGCGTAAGTTTGATTAAGTGTGTCAAACAGGACATAATATATTGAAAGTCGACATCTACAGTGTATACATGCATATCGATAAATGCACAGAAAAAATAAACAATCCCCACCTCAGAGAAAGGGACTGTAACGTTTACCTGGCTTTGGAACAGGGGGAGGTGGCCTGCTGGGTCTTGCCGTGGACGTCATACCGCAAGCACGAAGAAAAAGAGATATAAATCGGCTTCGACAGGGAAGAGGAAGTATTTCCTGAATTTTTATTTACATGCAGCGAGGAATGTCGAGCCCGACAAATAAAATATCGGAACACAAGCCCGATGTTGAAGATACCCCACATTATGAAAAAAGGCCTAAATAAAAAAAAGGGGGGTAAACAAGAAATACATGTAGGTAAACACACTTATTTATAATTAAAAACCAGAAGTCTCTGACAAGACTGTAGCTCTACTAGTTTGTATTTTGTAACAGAGGAAGAGATGACTACTGAGTAGCATATAAAATTGCACTTTTAAAAGCAATTAATAATATTGAAATTGATCATTAAAACTGTAAAAAATGAAAGAAAAAGTGACCAAGCTCACATACTCCATGCTCCCCAAAACTCAATGTGCTCGAAATCTTGGGAAAAAAATTTTAATTAAGGAATCGTAATTTCCGGTAATTATGCACATTAATTTATACATAGTGTGTCCTAATTAAATATCTGCAAAGTTTGATGTTCGAAAGTCTGTGCAGCGGTTTATGAGGAGATGCGCTGACAAACTGCTCATCGTTATATTTAAGATATCCCTAAAAATCTAAGTTGAAAAGTGCCGAAATTCCCAGAAAAATAATTAAAGGATTCGGAATTTCCTGGTAATATGAACATCTATACATTGTGTACTCCTAAATATCTCCAAAGTTTGACGAAATTCTGTGTAGCAGTTTATGAGGAGTTGCGCTGACAAACTATATTCATCGATCTCTATATTCAAGGTATGGACAAAAATCTAAGTTGAAAAGTGCCAAAATTCCCAGAAAAATAAAGGAATCAGAATTCCCTGGCAATTAATATATATAATATATATATATAATTATTAATAATAATTAACACACTGTGTCCTAAATACATTGTATCTCCAAAGTTTAACGAAATTCTGTGCAGCGGTTTATGAGGGGTTGTGCTGACAAACTGCATGCTCATCTCTTAATATTAATAGTATGGCCAAAAATCTAAGTTTTTAGTGAGGAAATTCTCGGAAAAAATAAAGGAATCGGAATTTCCTGGTAACATGCACATCTACACATTGTTTCCTAAAAATCTGCAAAGTTTGACGAAATATTCCATTTTGTGGTGGACATAAATTATAGGATCTCTAAATTCATACCTTGAAAACCACGAGTGGCATGCATGCGCACTCTGTGAGTGAAGTATATCAACTACAAAGGGCCCAGGGGATATATCAATAGAATATATATGCACCAGACATGGATTTTTCATATAATATTCTGCTAGACCTTAATTTTAGACCTAGAAACATATGGGATGGTTAAAAGTCACAGCACATGCATATATACATGCACCTTTTACCCATAGGCACTCTGTGGGTGAAGCAAGAGCAAGCTTCCAGGGCCAAACTAGGAGAGAGCTAGAAGATATGCTCCAGACAAGACGCTTTAAACAATGAGTGTATTTTTTAACCTTGACTATATTAATTTTTGTTCAATTTCACTGCACAGTCATTGACCGGTGCACTCTGCGAGAATTAGTACGAACCACAATGGACCCAGGGGAGAGAAGATATGCTCCAGACAAGGATATTTCATACAATGAGATGACCTTAACCTTAGAAACATGGTTCAATGTCACTGCATACCCTTTATCCAAAGGCACTCGGTGGGTGAAGTATGAGCCAGATTAGGACAAGAAGAGATAAGATATATGCTTTGGAGATCTTGATTCAGGCAGACTGATCACTCTAAGGTGCCAGAAGAGAGGGACCCTAATAACAGATTTTGCAAAATCTATATGACATCACAGGAGGCTGGAAATACCTTAAAAATAATTTTGACGGTAGCCCTGCAGGGAATAACAGAATATGCCTCAAATATTAGATAATATTTACATTTATGATGTCTTGTTTGAGATAAAATTATAAATAGTCAATGAACTTTATCTTTCGGGCATCAATGTACTGGTTTATCAATAGGCATGGCTAAAAAATCATGTGCATGCAGGGCGGGACAAATAAGAGACAAGATTATATAAGCACGGCTTGTAGCATGTGTACGTACCATATGTAAATATAAGGAATAACTGTCAGATTTTTCAATTTCATGATGATGATCAATCAATCGGCTTGCGTGATAATTACCCCCCGGGGTCATGATTTGAACAAACTTGAATCTACACTGACTGAGGATGCTTCCACATGAGTTTCATCTTTCCTGGCCCAGTGGTTCTGAAGAAGATTTTTAAAGATTTTAATTTTCCTAGTATATATTCCTTAATGTAAACCTTTGATCAGCCATTGTGGCCGTGCCCTACACCTGGGGGTCATGATGTGAACAAACTTGAATTTACACTACCTGAGGATGCTTCCACATGTCGAGTTTCACCTTTAAAATTCCTGGTCCAATGGTTTTGGAGAAAAAGATTTTTCAAAATTTTTCCTATACATATTCTTATGTAAAAATTTGATTAGCCATTGTGTCCCCGCCCTACCCCCTGGGGTCATGATTTGAACAAATTTGAATCTTGCTTCCACATGCACAAGTTTCATCTTACCTGGTCCAATGGTTCTGGAGGAGAAGATTTTTAAGAAAAATTCCTATATATTCCTAAGTAAAACTTTGATCAGCCATTGTGTCCCCAGCCTATCCCGGTAGGGGGGGGGGGGGGTTGGGTTCATGATTTGAACACTTGAATCTATACACTAGCTGAGGATGCTTCCAGACATAAATATCATCTTTCCAGGCCCAGTGGTTCTGGAGAAGAAGATATTTAAAGATTTTCCTTTATATTCCTATATAAACCTTTGATCAGCCATTGTGGCCCTGCCCTACCCCCGGGGGGTCATGATTTGAAAAATTTCAACTTACACTACCTGAGGATGCTTCCACATGTCAGTTTCATCTTTCCAGGCCCAATGGTTCAAGAGAAGATTTTGAAAAGATGCCTTTAATTTTTCATTAATTCATAATTATCTCCCCTTGGAAGAGGGCTTGGCCCTTCATTTAGAAAATTTGAATCCCCTTCACCCAAGGATACTTTGTGGCAAGTTTGGTTGAAATTGGCTGAGTGGTTCTTGAGAAGAAGATGAAAATGTGAAAAGTTTACAATGACAACGACAATGACAGACAATGGACAAATTTTGATCAGAAAAGCTCACTTGAGCCTTTCACTCAGATAAGCTAAAAAGTCACTGAAATGACTGGGGTGAACTTATAATACAAAAAACTTTTCCTCTGCTTTAAGGGCTTGGAACCTTCTGCTTGAAAAAATGCAAATCCCAAATGGAAGAAATTGATTTTTTTTTCAAGCAGGCAGCATTAAAAGTTTTGTGCTTTTTTTCTACTGTTATGCCTTTTTTTGGCTCTTTGATTATTTTTAGAGCCTTTTTTTTTGTTGGTTTTTTTGGTTTTTTTTCAGGTTAATTGTTTCATATCCTTTTGTTGTCGCCTTTTTAGTTTTTCTGTTTTTTTTTTGTTTTTTTTTTTTCAATGTTTTCTTTTTCTTTCTCTCTTTCTTTTACATTTGGTTTTGATTTTTGAAATTGCACAAAACTTTGGCATTTGAGATCTTAATACAATTTAACAATTGACATTTGCAGGTACATGTACTTTCATTACAGAACTAATCACATCAATAATAAATGCTGACTTACACTCAATATCATGTACGTACAATAAATTCTTAAGTGAATTTGTACAGACTTATTATAATCACAAATAAAAACCAGAAGTCTCTGTCGAGACTATAGCTCTACTGGTTTATACTTAAAACAAAGGAAGAGAAAAGTAGCAGTTGGGACTTGAGACTTTAAAACAGCAATAAGTAAAAAAAAATGATCCTTGCTGCTAATCAAAAGAAAAACAGATGCACAGAATTATGTATCTTAGTGTAGTCTACTTGTGTGACAAGTTATATTGAAATTGGACCAAAACTGTAGGAGGAGTAGCATTTTGAAAGAATTTTACAGAAATTTCTATTTTTAGTAACCACGGCAACACTGTTCATCGAAATCAAAAACAAATGCACAGAATTATGTATCTTAGTGTAGTCTACTTGTGCCAAGTTATATTGAAATTGGACCAAAACTATAGGAGGAGTAGCATTTTGAAATAATTTCTCAGAAATTTCTATTTTTAGTAACCACGGCAACACTGTTCATCGAAATCAAAAACAAATGCACAGAATTATGTATCTTAGTGTAGTCTACTTGTGCCAAGTTATATTGAAATCGGACCAAAACTATAGGAGAATTAGCATTTTGAAAGCATTTCACAGAAATTTCTTTTTTTAGTAACCAAGGCAACACCGTTCATCGAAATCAAAAACCGATGCACAGAATTATGTATCTTAGTGTAGTCTACTTGTGTGCCAAGATATATTGAAATTGGACCAAAACTGTAGGAAGAGTAGCATTTTGAAAGAATTTTACAGAAATTTCTGTTTTTAGTAATCACGGCAACACCGTTCATCAAAATCAAAAACCGATGCACAGAATTATGCATCTTAGTGTAGTCTACTTGTGTGCCAAGTTATATTGAAATTGGATCAAAACTGTAGGAGGAGTAGCATTTTGAAAAATTGTTTACAGACAGACAGACAGACAGACGGACAGACAGACGGACGGACGACGGACGCATTACTATCGCATAAGCTCTTCTGGTCTCTGACCAGTAGAGCTAAAAATTATATTACATTAAAGCAAAACAATGGATAAAAAAATATTATTTACATTAATTAGAATATTTTCAAAATGAACATATTTATCTCATTGGCAGAAAAAATGGATGCCTAGTCAGTGTTGGGGGAAACTGGAAACCGGTCAGCACCCAGAGAAAACCCACATGTCTATGTGGGCAACCCCAAACCCTCTCACAACTCAGATACCTGTATCCAAAACAAAGTTCACAAAAAAAATTATTTTGGATAACAAAAATGGATGTGCCTTAATTAGTTTACATGTGTGCTTCCCAGATCTGGCTTTCTGCACTGTCATCTTTCTTTGTCTTAAATTTCTCCAAATATGATCACAAGGATATGCCTCTTCAATACTCTTATTTTCTGTCAA